GAATATATGTGGGAGGTTATATGATAGAAAAAAAAAGTCTAATAAGATTATAATTTATGCAGTATGTTATACAGAATATTCGGATAAAGCCATCTGCTGAATTTCCTTTGAAGTTTATAAAAAGTGGTAGGTGGGAGGCACAGCAAGGCAGGTAACATTAACGATGGCAACAATAACAAAAAAGAGAGCATACAGGGACAACTGTCATTGCTTGTAAGGCACTGATAGAGTGGTACTAGGAGCGGTAATTGAAATAGTGGCAATGGTAAATGATAATGGTACTGAAATGGTAATGGTAAATGATAATGATACTGATGGCTGTGTTAATGGTAATGTGACGATAATAACATTGATGATAATAATGACGATCGTAGTAATGACAGTAACAAATTACTGATACTAATGAAACTTTTGATAAAAACAATGAGATTGATTGCTGATAAAAAAAAAACGATGAATTGTTTAAAAATATATATATTATTATCAAGTAAAAGGCAACTACAAAAAAAAAAAAACGTTATAACCATATTTTCAACAGAAATTCAAAATTAATAAACATGACATAAACTTTCCATTCCAAGGGTGATCATATTTTCTCATATTTTACCTTGAAATGACGTCAGTAATATTTCATAAGATGGAAGGAAAGTTTCCACTGTCGTTCTATTTTTAGACTGTCTGTACATGTTCATTATATACGTAGGAACTTGTCCGTGTTTTTAATTGGAAGGGATGTGCATTATAGCGTGACATATTTGGGTTCCATTTCAGGAGGTAAAGGGATGTATGTATGTATGTAGGGATGTGTGCGTGTATGTAAGAATGTGTGTGTGTGTGTGTATGTAGGTATGTATGCGTGTATATATGTGTGTATGTATATCCGTGTATGTATATATATACCTACACGGATGCATTCATGTATGTGTGCATTTAGGCCTGCATTTAAGTATGACCGTATGTATGCTTATATGTATGCATATATGTATGTATGTATGTATGGACTTACATATACGTACATACATGCATGTATGTATGTTTGCAGTCTGTATGCTTTTACATGCATGAATACATGCATGTATGTAAGTGTATTTATGTATATATGCAAGTATACATGTACGATGTATGTATTTATGAATGCATGTATATTACGATGATAGTATTTTGATAATTGTTTGTTACAATAATAGCAATGGTAATTGTATGATATAATTTGTTGTTAATCATAATGGTAACAATTGTAATAAAGAGATAATGACAAAGAGGAGGAGGAGGAGGATAACAGTAGTAAAACTAATAACTGCAAAGATAATAATTCTGATGCCAAGAATAATGTTAATTCTAGTAGTGGTAGCAGCAGAAGCAGTAGCAGTAGTAATAGTAGTAACAGTAGTAGTAGTTATAGTAAAACAAACAGCAGAGAGAGACAGAACGGCGTTATTTATAACAATGATACGAGCAAGAATTGTAGTAGATAAGACAACGTTATTAATGATAACAGCAGATAGCAACAATGTTGATGATAGGGTTGCTTATTTAAACAAATTACACTGATTATCTTTGTTGTAATGGTGGAAAGGATAATGATAATAGTGGTGATAATGACAACGAATGGTATCATAACATTCAACGATAATAATAACAATAACAATAACAACAACAACAACAATAGCGACAATGACAAACAGCAGCAACAACAACCCAACAATCAGGATAATTACGATTTTCTACCATTTATTGTCCCTTTTCCCCTCTTCCCTTGTCTTCTCTTTTACATCATTCCAAGCATACGATTTTCCAGAAACGCCATTGTGAGGCCAGTCTTCCCTCACTTATTATTTTCCAGCCATTTAAGCCTTTACGGGAAGCAGTCCTTTGATAAAACTTTCTGCCTCGCTTTCTCCCAATGCGCATTCTGCTGTTCAATTGTCTGTTCATTCAATCCGGGGAATTATTTTATTTTCTCGCGATTTTGTCCGTTTTCTTTGTCCTTCTTGCTTCTTTTTCTTCGTTTTTTTGCGATATTTCTTCTACCTGGTTCTGTTGTTTTTTTCATTCTACTTATTATTGCTAATTATTGTTGTATTTATTATTAATGTTATGGTCATTGTTATAGTTTATAACAAAAAAATATTTATAATAATAATTATCATTATTACAATTATTATTATTATTATTATTATTATTATTATTATTATTATTATTATTATTATCATTATTATTATTATTGTTATTATTATTATCATTATTATTATCATTATTATTATTATTATTATTATTATTATTATTATTATTATCATTATTATTATTATTGTTATTATTATTATCATTATTATTATCATTATTATTATTATTATTATTATTATTATTATTATTATTATGGTAATGATAATGATAGTGATAATTATTATTATTATTATTTTCATTGTTAGTACTACTACTATTACTATTAATATTGCCATCATTATCATCGCTACTACTGTAGTGATAGAGATGATAGTGA